TCCTGTCATGACACTCTGGGCTCTGCCCATCCTCTGCGCCACTGCCGGGGTTTTGGGGTGCCTGAGCCTCGGTGCCCCCCAAGAGGAGATGGGAGTCCCTGTGGAGCTCGGGGTGCCCCTGGAGGTGAGGATCTCTCTCTCTCCCCCTGCACCCCCTTTTTGAGATGACCACGAGCAGCTCTGCGCTGAAGCCACGGGCTGGGAGATGTCACCCCTGGATGTGACCCCAGGACCTTCCTCCCCTCCACCTCAACTGGGAAACGGGGGTCCAGTAGAACCTGCTACCTGGTGCCCCCACACTGTCGTGGGATGGATTTTAGGGGGGTGAAGGCCACATGTTGGGGTGGGCTCATGCCTTCCTCCTCATCTCACACCCAACCCCTCTGCACCCCCTGCCCTGTGCTGGGAGCACCCATGGGTGCTGAGTCCTGCCAACGCCAGTGCTGCCACCAGGTCGTGGCACGGCTCTGCTCGTCCTCGATGGACCCGAGTGAGGAGGAGGAGGAGGAGGCAGCAGCAGCCAAGGTGGGGGTGGACCTCTTCAACTGCCATGCCAGCGCTGAGCATCACCGGACCTACCCTTGCACCCCTGACACGGTAAGGTGCCAGGAGAGGGCACCCCAAATACTATTTTCTCCATTTCTGCCCTAAACCCAACAGCAATCTTACAACCCCCAAAACCTCAAACCTTGTAACCACAGAGCCCAAGCTGCACCCACTCACCTCTGCTCACCCTCTTGTCCTCATTCTGGGGTAGAACCAGCCCTCTTTAGCCCATTTCCCACCCAGCAGATGGGGCGTTCTGCTCTTGAACCCCTTCCCACCCCAAGCCTTGCTCTCTTCCATAGTTGTTTTTTTTTTCCAAAATATCTTTCCTCAGCGCTGTGGCATGGAGGTGGGTGTCCATGGGGAGAGCCTGGTGTGTGGTTTGGGCATTGTCACCCATGGGGGTGATGGTTTGTCGGGGGGCTGTAAGGCCTCTCCCCGTCACCATCACCCCAATATTTGCCCCAGGAGGAGCTGCAAGAGCAACCTGCTGGGTGGCTACGGCAGAGACCAGAGACCCCCGTCCACCACAGCGCATGGCAGCCCACACCGAGCGAGACCCTCC